TCTTCTTGAAACTTGGTATGTTTCATTCTCTCTCCAGAGTCTACCATCCCTGAAAATTTAATCCAAATCAGACAAAAAATAACAAAGTTATAGATATTTGATTGTTTTCCCCATTATATCCTATGGCCGGATCTCTGAGGCAGCTCCGAAGCGCTTCAGAAGCTCCGAACCACTTCGGGAAGCCGAATGAGGCCGGCGCTTCGACCTGGATGTGCTGCTTTGGACCCCAAAGCTTCCGAAGCTTCTCCGGATCCGAAGATGTGTCCGAAGCCTTGCACAGCCCTACTGATTACCTAAGCAGTGTAGAGCCCTCTTGACAGAATGCACTGGGGCTGGACTTGTACCTAGCAGGTCTCTACCATACTGGGGCTTTCATTGAGATGAAAAGTGAGTTCATGATACAGTTGTAGTTTTCCTTTCTCTTCCACCTCACCCAACCACATTTCCATAGCAGCCTAAACATACCAGTAATTAAAATCTGGCAGATGTTCCCAGTTCTCTGTGGCTGGGCACATTAATTATCTTCTGGGTCTATCTGACATACTGCCAGAAAGTGGAAACAGCATTTCAAAAGAGAACAAGGGATTTCTGCATATGTTCCATGAAAATTAGCTACCAACCAGGCCAGGAGATGGGCTTGGCAAGAGAACAGTTTGATCCCTGAATGTGATTTCTGTGCCCTCATTTTCCCCAGCTGTCCTACACTGGATTAAGTGGAAGTGGTCACTTTTCCTGTTTTGTGCTGTGTAGTAGGCCTGTGTGAAGCAGCTAGTATTCGCTTCAGATTTGGCCAATTTGGGGAATAGTGATTCCATTTGGTGATTTGAATCACTGTCCCAAATCAACTTGGCCGAATCTGATTTGGAGAATCACCCAGGTCCATTCCTCACCCGCTCTCCTAGCCCCAGCTTCCAGCACTTCAGGGGGGGAAAAAAAGTCCTGACTCAGAGGATGCTGCCAGGTGGAGGGATGATCCCTGCTGCCCCAGAGCTGGGGTGGGCAGGCAGCCATGTGGGGGGGGGGGGGGGGGTGGGGGGGGTGCTAAAAATAGCCTGGCAC